GGTCGTGTGCGCTCTCTGTGTGTGTGTGTGTGTGTGTGTGTGTGTGTGTGTGTGTGTGTGTGTGTGTGTGTGTGTGTGTGTGTGCTTACAGAGGCTCCTGAGGATCTGAGTGAGGACCTGAAACATGGTCCTTACTGAGAGCCCCCTCCCGCTCTTCATGCCCCTCCTCCAGAGTTTCTCCACTTCCAAGTTGCTCCTCATCATCTGATTCCAGCACAGTCTCCATCTTGGTGTATAAACTTGTTGAATGTGTTTGTGTGTGTCTGAGGTTTATACATACACACAGAGAAAACAGTCCCTAAGACAGATGTTGTCATCTTTGGAGACACAATGAATCACAACTGTCGTGAACCTGTGCACGATGAGCATCTGTTTATACAACTCAGGGGGTCTCTCTCATTTAAGGAACAGCTGCAGTGGGTTTAAATATATTGAAAATACAATATTTATAAGTGGAGCACTTGTCACTGGTCCAGACAGAAGTTATAGAGGAAAATTCAGCGTATAACAACTACACAGGGAATATTAGTGCTTAATGGGCAACTATACTGGGACCAGTATGTAGGTGACGGTGCAAGTGGGGACGAGGTTTGGAAACCACGAAACAACAGATTTGTTAGGGAGAGACTTGGAACCATCGAGGGTTTATACATTTTAGTTTTTACAGAATTTAATGATTACAGTGTACAGCGATGTTGGGCTAACATGTCACAGCAAACCGCAGGCTAGTTAAAGGCTAGTTAAAGGCTAGTTAAAACTAGCTCCACGTCAAGCAGCTAACGCCAACTACAACAGAAAAGTCAGCAATAACTATCTCTAATGACATACACGATAATACATCAAATAAACGGACACTTTTCTGCATGACCACCTCTGATACGGCGTACTGCTGTTTCTAGTGTTGTATTTGTACGTTTACTTTTTCGACCACTTTAATAAATGTGGAAATGATGTGAAATGTGAACGAAGCTCGCGTTAATTAAGTCAACGTCAAAATGTGGAATAACTCAACTAAAGGTCTAGTCCGGTCTGTCATTACAAAAACTAGTCAACTATTCCTTTGAACGCCAAGTCCTACTCACCCAGGCTGCCTGAGAATTAACAGGCTTTTTGTTTGGAAATCATGTTATTTTACGTTTAGCTAATCTAACGTTAATTCTGACTAAAACCTGGAGCGTTTTGGTTGCTCCGTGTTCATGGTAACAGCGTAACAGCAACACGTCGTGACGTAATATAACGTAAGCTTCACGTACCAAAACGGATCGACTTCCGTCAATATAAGATCAAATAAATGGACTATTTATCATTTGTTATCTTAATGGTTAGTTCCTTTTCCTGTGTTTAACTTAATGCTAGGGTGCTGAGAGATAAAACTAAAAGAAAGTGAATTTTTTTTATTTTGCAAGGGTGAAAAAGTACATTGTATTTTCTTGCAAGAAACCCACTCAACTCAAGAAGATGAACAGTTTTGGGTACAACAATGGGGCGATAAAATTGTCTTTGACCACGGCTCGTCCAGCTTGTTTCTAGCCATTCGTCTCTGTAATTCACCGGGGAAAATAGTAGCTCTTAAAAACAACAATATTAGCCATCGGCTCATCACTGTACTAAACATAAATGATCCTACCTAATGTTTATGGCTTCAACAAACTAACCCAAGATAAGCAGTTGTTATATGAGATCTCTGAAACTATATAAAAAAAAACTCAGGCTCAACTATCCTTCTGCCAATATCATTATTGGAGGTGATTTTAATAGGATACTGGACGTTTAATGCCAATTTACTCTCATCACAAACATTGTATTATGGTATTAAATCCATCATCCTTAACATAATGACTGATAACTCTGTGACATCATACATATCTAAATGGGAACTCTTGAAATTTAAATTTCGAGAATTCACCACTCAGTGTGGGAAAATCATCAGTAAAAATAACAAATCAGCAGAAACTGCCATAGTCAAAGACATAAACACCTATTGCAATAAAACTTCCCCCTCTGAAAATGATAAACACCTTCTACATACCCTACAGCTGAAGCTTGATGAATTATATCTTAGGAAAGCAGAAGGGGCTTACATAAGAGCCAGAGCAAAATGGATGGAGCAGGGTGAAGTATGTCATATTGCTGTCGTTTGGAGAGGAGGAGACAGGAAAAAAATGCAATAAAAACTTTACTAGTTGATGACAGTCTTATTACAGACCCAGTTTTGATTGCCAAGGAAATTGTCTCCTTTTTCTCTAAACTATATACCTCAGCTAACTCGAATGAGGATGCAGACTCCTTCTTCAATCACATCAAAGGCTTGACTCCCCTTATTGACAATGGCTTTAAGGAGATGTGCGATGCCAGTGTCTCTCCAGATGAGTTGGATAATGCAGTTAAATCTTTATCATTAAATGAAGCTCCAGGTAATGACGGTCTTACTGCCAACTTTTATAAACACTTTTGGGACCTTTTAAAGAACCCATTCTCTCTCTTGTTAAATTTAAATGAAGCAATACATAAATAATCTGACTTTCCCCCTACAATGAAACAAGGTTTAATAACTTTAATTCCCAAACCAGGCAAAGACCCAAAAATCTTAGATAATTTGAGACCCATTACTCTACTAAACAGTGACTATAAAATTATAACTCTAATCTTTGCTAATAGACTTAAAAAGAATCTTAATAAAATTATTAGTGAATCCCAGGCTGGCTTCATGAAAGGCAGATCCATTCACAACAATATTCGTTTAGTACTTGATCTTTTAGATTACAACCATTTTGTAGAAGATGACAGTTTTATTCTCTTCCTTGATTTTTGTAAAGCACTTGACACGATTGAACACTCATTTATTTTCCGCAGCTTAAGATTACTAGGTTTTGGGGGAAAGTTTATCAGTATTATTGAATCTCTCTATGACAACACAAACAGTTCAGTCTCCTTACCAGAAGGCATGTCTCCCCGTTTCTCTATCAATCATGGAGTCAAACAAGGCTGTCCCATCTCCCCATTCCTATTTATCATTGCCACAGAAATGCTTTCTATCCTTATCAAAAATTTCAATATTGCCCCTTTAATCGTTTTTGGGAAACCAGTAATTATTAGCCAATTAGCGGACAACACAACCATATTTTTGCAACAACTGTCCCCAATGTTCTTCATGCTATTCATACATTCTCCAAAGCTTCTGGTTTAGAGTTAAAGTTGAATAAATGTGAGCTTATGCCTATTCACCAATGTAATTTAACAGAGGCATACATTCCTATCAGACAGACAGTTAAATACTTGAGTATACACATCTCTAGAGACTCAGCTGTATGTAATAAGAAAAACATATGGACGACTATCAATGAATGTCATTCTAGACTCAACCTATGGTTAATGAGAGACATCAGCTTAATGGGAAGGGTTTTTCTGACCAAAATGAAAAGCATCTCTAGGTGCATCTATCCAGCCTATTCACTAAGCATTCCAAACAATGCTATTAAAAAGATAAATAAAATTAACTTTGACTATATATGGAAAAATAAAGTGCTTAAGGATTTGTAGACAGCGAGAGAAGAGGAAAGGCAGGAGTATAGGTCTGAGAATAGGGACTCTTAACGTTGGCACAATGACAGGGAAAGGTAGAGAGCTGGTGGACATGATGGAGAGAAGGAAGGTAGATATACTGTGTGTGCAGGAGACCAGGTGGAAGGGTAGCAAAGTGCGTAGCATTGGAAGGGGATACAAACTGTTTTATTAT